TGATAGAAACCAGCTTGACACAGCTGAAGAGAGTAGGAATAAGTGTCGGTTCCCACAAACGGCGCCAAATGTTGATGCACAAAATCAGCGAAGACTTTGGTACAACAGAAAGTGTCAGGTTTTATGACCTTCGCTTGGTTGCTTCGGTCACTAGTGAGGATAAGTACGTAAATGAATAGAGACAGATAAGCAAACACAGGATGTACGTGGTTCACCCAGATTGGCTACGTCCACGGAGTAGAGGAGTTCTTATTAGTAGTGAAGGGCTTACACAAGTACAAAGGATCAAGCTCTCAATTTAGTGAGTTCTTGTGAATGATTTAACACAAATGGCATTAGGCAATATTGTGGGGGAATGACCCCTATTTATAGAAAAACTTGTAGCTTTGTCACATTGACATGTGTCATGTTATGATTGGTTCTTGATGTTGACACGTGCTGCGCTCTGATTGGCTTCTAATCTTGACACGTGTCGAGTAGTGATTGGCCTCCTGGTCGGAGGGGAACTCTTCTGGGTCCTTGACAGTATAGCGTTGGCTGGTGCTCGGTAGTTTCGGGATTGGTCAAGTATGGTACAAACAAAGCTCACAAAAGCATAACCGCTCTCAACGAACCATACAAATTGGAAATTTTGGATAGGATTAAAGAAGATCCCATTACCATATATCATATTGGTAAGGGTTTCACTATTTTCAGGCTCAATATAGTATGGAAGGTGATGATTTGATGTGCAGGAACTGTGCGTAAAGGAATAAAAAAGAGAGGGCGGGGGTGTGCTCAGGGAAAACAATGTTGTTGGTGCTCTTTAAAAATGAGTTATTGATATGCAGATTGAAAAGGAGACTAATTTAAAGGTGGGAGGAACCTTTTGGTCAAGCTAACCAAATTATACTTATGTTTATACATATGCATGCTTGTATTGGGATTTGATTGTGTTTTGAACTAGCATCCTGTCATATTAGACTGTCTTTATGTCATAATTCCTCATAGTATGCCAAATTCTTCATAGGTGATGAATGGTGTGACCTATGTGCGGGGCCCCATGTTGAAAAAATTGGAAATATTAACAGAAAAGTTGTCGAACTTGAGTCTATTGCTGGTGCCTACTGGAGAGGAGATGAAAAGAAACCAATGCTGCAGAGGATCTATGGCACTGCATGGGAGAGTGAAGATCAATTGAAGGCATTTCAAAGAGGAAGCTAAACGTCAAGATCACAGGTGCCTTGGTCAAGTTCTTGACCTGTTTTCTATACAGGTACTCAGATTTGCCCTGAATCTCTTTCTGCTGTTTACGCAGATTTATCAGTTAGCAATCCCATTATTGTAATTATGAGGATTCTTGCATTGAACATTTTCATTGTTGAATTTTCACAGAATGATGCTGGTGGGGGTTTAGTGTCTGGCATCCAAAGGGTGCTATTGTGAGGCATGTAATGGAAGATTTGTGGAAAAAGATCCACATAGAACGTGGTTACGATCTGCTGTATACTCCACATGTTGCAAAGGCGAACCTTTGGCAGATAAGTGGTCATCTGGATTACTACAATGAGAATATGTATGATCAAATGAATGTTGAGGATGAACTTTATCAGCTTTGACCGATGAACTGCCCTATCATATCATGAATTTCCTATTCGAGTTGCTGAGTTGGGAGCCGTATATAGATACGAATTATCTGGAAGCTTGCATGGTCTTTTTCGTGTAAGAGGTTTTACTCAGGTATGGTGTTAGTATTTGCAAACTGTTAGTCTATAATCCTAGGTGTATGAAGTGTTTTTTTTTTGTTTAACCTCGGGACCTGTTGCAGGATGATGCCCACATATTTTGTCTAGAGATCAGATCAAAGATGAAATTAGGGGTGTCCTAGATCTTACCGAAGAACTTTTGTTGCAATTCGGCTTCAGCAAATATGAGGTCAATCTCTCTATGAGGCCAGAGAAAGCTGTTGGAGATGATGATATATGTATGGGTGAAACCGTGAAAGCAACATCTGCCCTTAGAGATGCTTTGGATAATAAAGGTTGGAGCTATCAAATTGATGAAGGTGGTGGTGCCTTTTATGGTCCAAAGATTGATCTTAAGTTGAGGATGCCCTTGGAAGGAAGTGGCAGTGCTCAACTATACAGGTTAATCCTGAACTCATGACGGGATAATTCTAGTGTGTGCTTTGTTTTTTAATTTGTAGTCTCTCCGTCTATCTCTGTATCACTTTGTAAAATGTTCATTGGAGATTTGAGCATCTTTTTTGAATTGAGCGAATTACATGGATTTGTTTGATAGACTAAAGCCACTTATTATTGTTATTTTAAATTGTTTGATCTTTTGTATTTCCCAAATTGTACAGGTTGATTTAACCTACCACAGCGTTTTGACTTAACATATGCTGACTCAAACTCTGAAAAGAGGCGGCCTATCATGATTCATAGAGCTGTTATTGGGTCATTGAAGCGATTTTTTGGGGTCCTTATAGAGCATTATGCCAGGGATTTTCCATTATGGCTTTCGCCAGTACAAGCTCATGTTTGACCAGTTACTGATCCTCAGGTTTGTAAAGCAGTTGCACGTTTAATGTTTCAATTAACTCAAGAACCCTCAACACACCTGCACGACGGTTACCTGGGCTACGACCCCCAACTCTCCTCCGGTTCGACTCCTTTGTCGACTCCGAGTTGCTCAAGGACTCTGCCACCGATTCCCCAATCTTCCACGGCTCCGCTGTAGACAACTCTTTCGCCACTCAGCCGGCATCGGAGGCCTTCTCTCCTCCGTTGATCTACTACGCTGAATCGAACGGCCAGGGCTTTGATGGAGGGTTTGGCGGGTCCGACGATCCGATTTTGCCGGCTCCATCGGAGATGCTGCCTGAGGAGGGCTTCGCTCTCAGAGAATGGAGGAGGTAGGGTCTCGAATTCTAATTGTTTTCGATTGAACCAATAGTTCTGTACAGCAATTAAATTTTGACTCTTTTGTGCAATTTAGTTGAAAGTTTTTGGTTTTGATTTGGCTTGATATTTCTGTTGCTGAGAAATTGAGTGGAAGTTGTTGTTTTGATTTCGGTAGTTTTCAAGAATTGGACGCTTAGTGATCAGTAATCGTCTGGCTTTATCGGGTAAGGAGATAAAGCAATTAAATTTCAAAATTTGGATTTACAATTCGTATTTTGAGCCTGAATTCATGAAAACAAACATAACCCATTATTTATTAGCAATTAATAAAGGTCGTACCCAGTGCACAAGGCTCCCGCTTTACGCAGGGTCTGGGAGAGGTGAATGTCGGCTAGCTTTACCCCCATTTATGGAGAGGCTGCTCCCAAGTCTCGAACCCGAGACCTACCGCTCATGGGCGAATTAATGATATGATTAATTTAGTTTTTAATCATAATCAATAGCATGTAGCTTTAGCAGAAGTGGGGTTTGGGAAATTGGCTAGCACCCATGTTGCTTTTTGTTTGTCTGCTTTCCATTTCTCCTCTCTCTTGCCATCTTCTCTGTATTTTGGCTGCTTCTCTCTCCCGCACTCATTTTTTTACTCTTGGTTCTGTGGTTCTCCGGCCGCTGTTAGGTTTTTGTGGTCGGACAACGATGGAATCCGAGGACGATGACTACTGCAGCAGTGACGATGACTACTAGAATTTTTATTTTGAATTCGTATCCCCTAATCGCCAATCTCCTCAGGTTTGCCCCAAGCCGGCAAAGGAATCAGGAGAACGGAGCTCAGACTATCAGAGGTATAAATTCACATCCCTAATTTTTTATTTATTAATTTCAACCGGATCTGAGAAATTCTAAGTCATGGATCTATGAATAGTGTCTGTTGAGTCTCAGCATCTCTATTTTTTTTCATCAAATGGTCTGTAGTGTCTCTCTGTATTTGTGCATCCGTATGGGAATATGATATTTAAAAGCTCATTATTGTCCTGGGAAACCTCCTAAATTATCGATTCCTTGCTTTCTACGTACAATGTTTCATATTCTATTTTCTAAAGGTAAGTTTGAAAGGAGAAAGGGTTGAAGTGGTGTCTGGTTAGAAGGAGAGAGATCCATGGCAGTTGGCACGACCACGGCCACGGCCACAAAGAGGAGACATTGTTGGCAATATCGAAGCTTCTCAAGGAATTGACCGAGGAGGAGGACATGAAAGTACAGATTTGGATTTCATCAGCACGACCAAGATCATGAGCATTTTGATTGTCTGCAGCTCTCAATTCTTGGTATTTCTTCTTACATTTAACCTGGTTGAATTTTTTATTTTGTGGGTTTGGAAATTCAAGTTTTTTTTCTGCAATTTATATTTCCATTGAAGTTTTTGAACTGTTCTGTTTGGTTGCCAGTATGATTACTTATAGACTATTTCGCCATATGCATTTGCTACAAAATGTAAACTTATTTTAAATGAAACATGTTGAAGTCTCTTTGCATTTGCATAAGCTATTGTGTGTTGTTAAAAGAGAGGGGGCATCTAACATACAACACACACGCCATGGGTGTACAACTAAGTTTGCCATGGAAGGATTTCTGGATTTCTTCGATGCCTGTCCTTTAGCTAAACCTCTGCATTTACATGAATTTTTAGATTACAGAGTTTGACAGCATGAAGCATATAGACCGTTAGCAGCTATAGATTTATTTTTCAAAACATTTTGGATAGGAAAATTAATGGATGATAAAGGTAAAACTGAAATTGAAAAACACCAAGGTTAAACATGTACAGTTGAAACCGTACCACTTGTATAATTTTTTTCAAAAAAAAGAAAAGAAATTAGGGTAACGTGGCTTCGCCAAGCTCACATCACACATGCCATGAGAAGAAATTTAATGACTATTGTCTGTTGCTAAAAGAGAGGAAAGGTAAACGGTAATGGAATAAATCTGTTCTCAAAATCTAAAACTAATATTCTCAATGTGTTTGAATTCTCTTCTTTTCATTGTCATTATTTGGCTTCCTTCTTTCATTGTCATTATTTGGATTCCTTCTTTCATCGTCATTATTTGGCTTCCTTCTTTCATTGTTCATTATACAACTATTTTACTTACCATTAAAATCCAACTGATATAGTTTGATATTACAGATATGAATTCCAGGAATTCGTTAAACAGTTTATAATCTATTCAAATTAACAAGAAAAACATATGTTCCCATGCATGTAGAAACTCAGTGGAGATAAAACTACATTTGCAAATGAGGCAGAGCACCAATGAAGTGATTATTGGGCATGTGTTGTGTGGTCTAATATAGGAAGTACATTAGTTGTACGAGTGATAATGCGATTTATTGCATGTAAATTTATCATCAAATTTGAAAGATATTGTACATTTATTTTGGAGATCGATATATCATTGTTTGATTTCAGTCTTTTGTTTTTACCTTTTCAAATAGTTGGTCTGCTTCTCTATATTTTCTCATTGCCTCCAGGCAAAAGGTCAGTTTTCTTTTTTGTCATTAAAATGTTCTTAGATTCTGGTTATATGTGTTTGGTTTTTTGCTATTGTATCTTTTGAAGTTTGCTTAATTGTATATTTGTTTGCATCTGGTTTTACTTGGTTGGTCTATAGGTGGCTTGGTTGTATCTTCCCCCTTCCTTTTTATCAATTTATTGCTTGGCAATGTTAATTTGTAACTGCATTGCGCAAAAAAACGAGGACTAGTAAGAGAGTGGATGATACAAGAAAGACATAATATCCTGCCTTAATTGGTGCACAAGTGTGTAATGACAATATTTATCATGCTAACAATGTGGAAATCAACCTGCATTATTAGCTTTTACTACCCTCATGTAAATTTGTAATCAGTCATTGATTTCTGTTCTTTTATGCACAGTTTTGGGTTTGTGGTGTTGTGTTGATTGATGCTATTGGGGCTGGAGAATGTTAAAATCCCATGTTGGAAGCTTAACTAAATGAAATACAAAAAGAAATGAATGTTGGCAATGTTAATTAGTAGTGAACCGCTAGACCGCCTCTAGAATGATGGCTGGCTGGCTAGCCCCACCAATTTTGTGTTTCCATCTAATTTGGTGTATATCTTTGGCAGATGGATTGGGGAGATGCCGATTGCTAGCAGATGGAACAATTGCTTCTTGGGCTCTTCTAACTAACTGACATTCAGTATCATGTAAGGAATTATAATGGTTTCGATTCTTCTGTACTTTTCCTTTTAAGTTTAGTGTTGTAGTACTAAGTTTTATGGATGTCACATTGAGTCATGTGACCATCGTATTCTCTCACAGCTCACAACGACGAAATCGCGCAGGGCTTCGTTGATTTCTGTCAACTCCGACCTCGACCAGCATCGGGTAACCTATTGACCACCCCCTCTCCATCTTCTTTTTCTTCTTCCGCTTCTCCCTGTGCATTCCAGTTTGACTGTCTATGATCGAAAAGGTCAGTCCATCTAAATTCAGCAATTGACTCTCAAACTCTGAATCTGATTTCATCTCCTTCTGCTGTTCTCCTTCATTCCCCTCTTCTCTCTCTTTCTTCTGTAAATTTAATCAACTAATTCGATTATTCATTTTTTTGATAGAACATCTGCTGCTCCACGAAAGATTCGGTTTTTGCCTGATCATTGTCAAACGCTGTAGCAACTGTAAGTTTGTCAAAATTTATAATCATGGTTATTGATTGCTGGAATTTTGATCGTAGTGGTCCAGATTTACTTGCTCATGATCTTTTTATTGCTTTACTGTGAAAAGATAAATAATTTACTGCAAAATATGCTTAATTTAGTGGAGATTTGCTAGGTTTTTAATACAATTAGGTTAATTGGATAATGGATATTGGAGATTTACTCTAAAGGATTATAATTTATATAGAATTTATAAGTTTTCTCTCTTTCGGGTTACTCTATGTTTCGAATTAGTTGGATTTAGCATTCTTCACAAGTTTTGATAATTGTTTAGTTTCTAAGTTTTGTTCCTTGCATGGTTGATTTTCTTGATAATTGTTGAATCGCTTCTATATTTGCTTGGTACTTAGATCTAAAGCATTTTGCCTTTTGAAAAGCAGCTGCAGGGAAAGTATGAGGTACCCTTTTCTTCTTTGTGTGTGTGTGTGTGTTTTTTTTTTTTTTTTTTAATTTTTTTTAATTTCTAATTTTTATGCAAGACATGAAATATTGTGGGAATCAAATGTATGATTGTCACCAAATATATATATCTTTTGTGGAATATTATTGGTGATAATGGTAAGTCTATGCGTAGGTAGTTATCCTTATTCTGTTCGAATTTCTCTCTAATTTTCTTTACTCTTCCTTATCTGCTATGTTGTATGTGAAAATCTGAAATGATAGCATTTGTTAATCTGTGTTTTGGGTTGTGATTTCCAAGTTCTGAGTCATTTATCTGACCTGAAAAAAATATTCGGTCCTACTCCTAGGCTAACATTTATTGGTTTTATTTTTATTCCTTATTCCTTATAGAAATTCAAACATCATCCTGCAATCAAAACACCGCTGGATGGTGGAACTGTTCCCTATAAGTATGCTGTCAGCACTGAATGAAATGTTTATTGAAGAGTTAAGGCATGAGGCTTTAAGAACAGGGTTTCTCATAGCTCGAGTTCTCATTGTTGTCAATCATAGTGATTTCATGTAAGATGTAGTTAAGCACACTACAACCCTAGTTATCAGTTTTGACTCAAAAAAATATTTGATGATGACATGCTGAATTGAATATTGGCTAAAATTATATTGAAATTTGCAGGCCGAAGCAGATATCGTTAAAAGAGCTCTAAGTCACCCTCTGAAATTAATTGCCAAATGTGATGTTGTAAATGGAAGCATTGTCAGTAAGAAGTCTTTTTTTTTGTTTCACTTTATATACTATGCTCACTATCTGTTTAATATGTTTCATCGTATAAATTAAAGTTTCATTTCTCAGGTGCTTTCAAGTGACAACCCCAACTATGGATGCATGTTGCCACTGGAAACTATGAAAATTTAATAGTTGCTGGGATCACTGATCCAACTAAAGTGGGTTTCTTTATCAAGTACTTCATGAATAGAATATTTCGGAGATCCAATCGCTGGGACAGATTGAAGAAGGTGAAGATCACAGGGGTGGGATACTGGGGAGGGTGGTAGGGTTATGGGGAGTTTAGGGGTTTCACGGGGAGGGTTACAGAGGGAGGGGGTGCACGCGTGAATTGCAGAGGGAGAGGGGGAGAGGGAGAGAGGGAGAAAGAGGGGGAGTAGGGTTGCTATATTCAAGTTCTCTTTTTTATTTTTACTTGAATTTGATTTGATTTTTTATTTTGCGACAGGTTGAGAATGGGAAAGCTTTGCTGGAGGTGGAGGTGAGAATTTTAATTTAATTCATGGTATATTGTTGTTGTTGTTTTTTTTTTTTTTACTTTATTTTTGTGGGATTGTGCTGTTTTTGGGGAAAACAATATTAAATTGAAGTAAAGTTTAGATATTTCTGTAATTGGATCTTAATTCGTTGACTGGTATGCAACTATGAATTTTTCTAGATGCTAGCAAATCTATAGACCGAGAGAAAGCAAAGTCGTTTCCCGATTAAGACGTTACTAGCAAATATGTAGACCGAGAGAAAGCAAGTCAAAATTACCTCAGTCGTTCTAATTAAGATGTTACTAGCAAATATATAGATTGAGAGAAAGCAAGTTGTCTACATCCATAGAAAAGTATGTCAATCCCAATTAAGACGTTACCATTAAATATATTAACTGAGAGAAATTGAGTTGTTTACCTACAAGCAAAAGTATCTCACTTTACCAAAAAAAAGCAAAAGTATCTCACTTTACCAAAAAAAAAAAGAAGCAAAAGTATCTCACTTTACCAAAAAAAAAAGAAAGCAAAAGTATCTCACTTTACCCAAAAAAAAAAAGCAAAAGAAAGCAAAAGTATCTCACTTTACCAAAAAAAAACAAAAAAATCTCACTTTACCAAAAAAAAAAAGCAAAAGTATCTCACTTTACCAAAAAAAAGCAAAAGAATCTCACTTTACCAAAAAAAAAGAAAGCAAAAGTATCTCACTTTATCAAAAAAAAGTAAAAGTATCTCACTTTACCAAAAAAAAAGGCAAGTTTATATACATACAAAAGTACTTTAGTCGTCCCCAATTAAGACATTATTAGCAAATATATGGATCGAGAGAAAGCAAGTTGTTTACATACATACAAAATTATCTCACCCCCAATTAAGACATAAGAAATTTTGTAACTGGTTATATAGATGAGAAAATTATGTAGTACGTTACTGATAATTATTTATTTCAATGTACCTTTCCATGTTTTTGTTAAAGAAAGAAAAAAGTGACTTAATTTTAAAATAATAGAATATTATATTGGCACTCTAAATTTTTTGTTTTGCATTCTAAATTCTCATTCTGTTAGAGGGGGAGAGGGGGAGAGGGGGAGAGGGAGAAAGAGGGGGGAGTAGGGTTGCTATATTCAAGTTCTCTTTTTTATTTTTACTTGAATTTGATTTGATTTTTTATTTTGCGACAGGTTGAGAATGCGAAAGCTCTGCTGGAGGTGGAGGTGAGAATTTTAATTTAATTCATGGTATATTGTTGTTGTTGTTGTTTTGTTTTTTACTTTAGTTTTGTGGGATTGTGCTGTTTTTTGGGAAAACAATATTACATTGAATTAAAGTTTAGATATTTCTGTAATTGGATCTTCATTCATTGACTAGTATGCAACTATGAATTTTTCTAGATGCTAGTAAATCTATAGATCGAGAGAAAGCAAAGTCATTTCCCGATTAAGACGTTACTAGCAAATATATAGACCGAGAGAAAGCAAGTCAAAATTACCTTAGTCGTCCTAATTAAGACGTTACCGGCAAATATATAGATTGAGAGAAAGCAAGTTGTCTACATCCATAGATAAGTATGTCAATTCCAATTACGACGTTACCATTAAATATATTAACTGAGAGAAATCGAGTTGTTTACCTACAAGCAAAAGAATCTCACTTTACCAAAAAAAAAGCAAAAGTATCTCACTTTACCTAAAAAAACAAAAGTATCTCACTTTACGAAAAAAAAATCAAGTATCTCACTTTACCTAAAAAAAGCAAAATATCTCACTTTACCTAAAAAAAAGCAAAAGTATCTCACTTTACGAAAAAAAAATCAAGTATCTAAGTTCCAATTAAGATGTTACTGGCAAATATATGGACCAAGAGAAAGTAAGTTTATATATATACAAAAATACTTTAGTCGTTCCCAATTAAGACGTTAGTAGCAAATACATGGACCGAGAGAAAGCATGTTGTTTACATACATACAAAATTATCTCAGTCTCAATTAAGACATACGAAATTCCTTAACAATAGGCTATATAGATGAGAAAATTACGTAGTACGCTACTGATAATTACTTATTTCAATGTACCTTTCCATGTTTTTGTTAAAGAAAGAAAAACGTGACTATTAATTTTAAAACAATAAAATATTATATTGGCACTCTAAAAATTTTGTTTTGCACTCAAAATTCTCATTCTGTTAGATGCCAAGGCTGATCTGCCATAGCTAATCCATATCCATGGACCCCAGCCACCCCATATCCTCCTTCCACCAGATTCCCCCACATCCCCGCATCAGAGGATTTGCTCTCTCTTTCATTCTTTCTCTTCGAATCAACATCAAAAGGAAAAAAGGGGAAAGAAAAAGAAAAAAATTGGGCTTTAATGAACTTCCATTCTTCAATTAATATTATGGAGGATTTCGAAAATCCGAAGTTCTGGGCGAATTTTCAAATGACCACTTCTTGAATTTTTGAAATTTTAATTTCTCTAATTTAAAAAAAAATTTAATTTTCTCTAATTTCTTGAATTTTCTGGGTTTGTATTTGTGTTATTCGTTTTGGGTTTTGTTTTTGTGGGGTTCTTCGTTTTGGCTTTCTGGAACTCTCCCTTTGCAATTTTGTTTGGTGGTTTTTGTTAGAAAAATGGTGAAGAAGAAGAAGAAGAAATTGAAGAAATGGCAGTGGGGCGAAAGCCCCAGTCGGTGATGGGATTTGAAGAGAGGGAAAATGATAAGGGGATGGTTTCTAATGCTCAGTTTTGCGAAATCTTAGTGAACTTATGATGAAGAAATCAAATTAGTTTTATGTAAAGACTGTTGGAGCAAGATGATTTGGGTCTGGTTTTGGTTTGCCATCGAAACCCACCTGCGTTTTGCGATCGGCGGTGTATCAGTTGTTCCCGGAGGAGGACGAAAATTAGCTGTGTTTAAGGAGGACGAGGAAGAAGGGGAGCGGAGGAAGGAGTGATGGGAGAACGGGGACGATTTCCACGGAACAAGGAGGAGAGGTTTTTATTTTTTATTTTTAAAGTTAATTTTAATTTTAATTGTCAAATAAAAAATTAATAATTAATTAAATTTTTATTCAAGTTGTCCAAAAAGCGGGTCTCGTTTCTGTCATATCATCATTTAACAGTCAGATTGACAGAAAATTTAACGGAGGTATGACATTACAACGAATTTATAAGTTGAGGTATGACATTGCAATATTTAAAACATAATGTATGAGATTATGATTCGACTCATAATTGATGTAATTTTTTGTAAATTACCCTCTCTTAGCCTTCATGCACGTGCTCACACGCGTGCAGAAGGCATTTTTTGAATCATGGCGTGTTACACGTGACTTACACATTTTAAATGTATTTATATTCGTAAATTGACAAAAGGAAAGTCAAATATTTGAAGTAAATGAATAATATTAGATCATGCTAGAAGAAACCTCTCATAAACCAATTAAAGCAGCTAAATCCACATAATAAAATCAGTCTCTATTGAATTTATATTAAGAATAGAGAAAATAATATTTAATAAACAACTGATTGAATCACATTATTGCTAGCCTATTGTGAGACTAAGCTCACCCCCTCCCTTAATGTAGATAATATCGTTTGTCAAAAAAAAATTATTTGACAACTAATTTAATCACATTATTATCCGCGAAAGACTTTTTATAATCGGCATTACAGTCTCTTAAGATGTTTTGAACATGTTTAAAAATAGAGAAAATAATATTTAATGAACAATTGTTTGAATCATATTATTATTAGCCTATTGTGAGGTACTAATTATTAAAAAAAAAACTACAAAAAATTAATTATTAAAAAAACACTATTAAAATGAAGAAAATACCCCTGCCACATTTGATGCATTATTTTGGATTGCTTTTGAAGTTTTTTGTTTGAGAGACATTTTTGTCTAATTATTTTGGTGTGAAGCTTGTGACACCCAAAAACACTGTTCATTGAGCCTTGACTTTATATATAAAGATTATATATGTTTACGTTGTCAATATTTGACTAAAATCTAATGGTCTTCTTCTTACATGCAATGCATGATTCAGCCAGTCGGAATATAAGTGTTGGTCGTTTAAGTTCACGCCGTCGAGGAGAGCAAGTTCTGCACATGTACGATATGAAGATGAAGTTGATGATGAGGATACTATTACTCTGCTTCCTCAGCTGCTTCTGCTTTCAGCTGTCCTTTGCTCAAAAGGCTACCACTGATCCATCTGAAGGTTCTCTCTCTCTCTCTCTCTCTCTCTCTCTCCCCCCCCCCTAGACACACACTTTGCCACATTTAAGTGTTTTTGACCAGGAACTGGGCTTTTTTCCCTCAACAAAATGACATTTTAAGTGTTTTCGATTATATGAAATGAAGTTTCGAGGAACTTATTTGTAAAGCTTTTTTTCTTCCCATATACTAAACATCCAAATTAAGGGTAATTTTCATTTGTAATAATCATTTGATCTTTCGTTTGGTTCGAGATAGTCTGGTAAGTGGTAAGACAAGTCAAATTATGGTGTGATATAATGTAATACACACAAGGACTGAATTAAGTGAGAGTGCAGTGAGGGCGTTGAACTCAATATTTGAACAATGGGACACAAAAGCAGTGCCGGGGCTGTGGAATATCAGTGGAGAACCCTGCAGTGGATCTGCCATCAACAGTACCGAATTTGAGAACCCCAATAACAACCACGATCTCAACCCAGCCATCGTTTGCAACTGTACTTACGACAACGGTACTACATGCCACATCACCAAACTGTATGTCAAACTACTCTCTCCTTATGAACAAGATTTCCATGCCACTGCTGATTTTTCACTTGCTACCTATATATATTGACGTCATAATTTGACTGTGTCGCTCCATTTTATGTAGTTCTAAATGTTCAATCTTTTTGCTTTCCAGGAGTGTATGCTCTTAACAAACGAGGGGTGTTTCCAGAAGAATTTGTGGCTCTGAGATATCTCACATATATGTATGAATTCTTTTCAACTCCCTTCTCTGTTTTTGGTTCATTAAAATCATATATTGGATATTAAAAATTGTAGAATTATCAGAGAACGGGCCAAAAACTCACTTCCAACAACACTGATACTGTCTCCAACTTGGTAATTACCACATGCACAATCCATCAGGTGTGGGGTTTATCTCAAAAGGCCTCCGCATTAGTTTGAGTGAGATTTAGATATTTAAACTTTTCCTTCTTTATTTCTCTAGCCGATGTGGGATTTCA